GGAAAAAAAAAAAAAAAAAAAAAAAAAAAAAAAAGAAGACTGGCTTTAATTAACCTTTAAATAATCTGACATTTCTTTATTCCCATTTCACTTACTACTTTCAATATTGATCTATTCTTTGCTACTTCCTCTGATGACTGGCCAAATTATAAAGCAAAACTTGAAAAGCAAGACACATACATTCCCACACAAAGTGCAGAACAAAAAAAGTTCCAAAAATAACAAAACAGAGCTAATAAAGAGAATTTAAGACATTCTTAAAGACTGTTTTGTAACTATCTTATTGAGTATCAGAAAAGGAAGTAAAATGTTCTTTTGTCAGAATAGCAACTCTCTCTCTAAATGAGAATAGTTCACATTAAAATGATAGGCCCCAGTAAGAAATAAGCATATAACTAATCAATGGAACCATCATTTGAAAAATGTCATACAAATTAATATATTGATGTCTAGAATCTAAAAGATGAGGCAATGAGCATGAAAGAAATCATACTTTCTCTTCCTACTATGCTATGTTTTTAAGAGGTCTTGTAATTAGAGGACATGTATCTACTGCAGGTAGATAAGCATATTTTCTTAGCGAAATTAATTTCAAATGCCATTTTTGTGAAATACCACCAATCATGTAGTGGACAAAAAAAGTAACAAGGCAGCCAGAGCAGAAAACTTGGGGTTGAGTATGACTTTCAACTTTCCACTTGTAAGTGCTATATCTTATAAACTTTTAAAAAAAAGCATAAAAATCTACACATCAATTTTTAAAATGATTTCTTGATACTATAAAGGCCAGTGCTATCATTTTGCTGGAATACAATTTTTTAGGTGTAATATCAATATCAAATTATAGTAAACAAAATCACCTACCATGAATTGCCAGAAGAGAGAGCTTTGTGCATCTCCACGCTAATAAAACCAGTGGATCTTCATTTCGGTTGTCACTAAGATCTGGAAAACCAGACGTGTCAATCACATCATTCATTAATATAAAATGAGTGAGGAACTTGTCATACTGCCTGGATATAAGATCAACAATAGCCCCTGAAACACAAGTGATATAGCTGTCAAAATGAATCCTCTCTAGAGGTATACTGGGTTTCAGAATCTTTAACATATCTTCACTCTTGATATCAAAAGCCATTATATAGACGCGAAGGCTGGTGCTCTTTCGTGACAGGGCTTTCCAATGCTCATCATTTGGCATGTTGTCCAGAGACTTGTGCATCACGGAAACATTATGGACCAGGAGAGACAGTCGCTGCAAAGGCACATGGTTGCTATCGGTTAAGACTCTTGCCATCTCAGCTGTAAAGTCGCAGAAATCCAAGGCAAGTGAGCGCAGATTCACAAATCGCTCCAGTTCGACTGCAGTAATAAGAGTGCTGTTACCAGGAATATTGTTGTCCAGTAAACTCAGGTGCTCCATGGTGTTGGCAATAGAGTTAGAGAGAGATGACAGTGATGTTGGGGTTACTATTTCCAGCATAAACCCACAGGACAGCCATTTCAGTTGCCTACTATTACTCAGTATTTCTTCAAATAGCTGCTGAATTCTATAAGAAAAACACATGCCACAATGATCCCATTAACATTTAGCTCTAATCATTTAACACTGACTTTTGAAAATAAGAAATGAATGGCATGCAATATAGAGAGCCATTTTCTCTCCTTAGTTAATTAATTTCTATTCAACCCACAATAAATACTGTTAAAATTCACATTAAAATATAACGAGTAAGATGTATTAAAAATACAGATGTATTAAACACATAGAAATGTTCCTCAGCCAAGGAAAGCATTTACACCCTGGTAGAAAAGACTGATGACATAAAATTCATGTTATAGCAAAGGCAAGTAGAGAAATAACAATATTAAAATAGCAGTAATTATCCAAAAAGCTCTTTGATTTATCTTACAGATTTATGATGTGGAATGGCATATACTCATCACTATATTTCATCATTAAGATATCTCCAAGACATATGTCCTTTTCAGAAAAAGAATTACTCTTCTTATTGTATCTTATAATTTCTCAGAAAAAACTACAATTATTAATATATCCCTTTTCTATTAACTATGTAACTTACTGTTTAATTTTTTTGCCATCAGGGTCCACCTTGCTGAGGTATGTATTTGACAATGTTCCTTGTTGTTGCAGAACGCTTATGTCTCCAAAAAGACTAAACTTCTGGAGGTTCCTACAAGAAAAATTATTTAAAATGATTTTCTAAATATTTAATTCATAAAAATAGAAATATTAAAAATAAAGACATGCAAAAGGAGTATCCTAGCAAAGTTTCCCTCTTATAACTCACTTAGAATCCAATTAAGTACTTGGAGATTACTTTATATAAACAATGCAAAGCAACACGATACAGGAGAAACGGCATACGTGTTAATGAAGACTGGGGTATAAAGAAAGACTGGTTCAAGAACTCAATATTTTAATGACCAAGCAAAAGTCTCTTAGTGCGCCTGAGACTCAATTCTTCATCAATAATTATAATACCTACCTTTCAGGGTTTAGGGAAAAGTCACAAAATGACATACTAAAAACCTGTTAACATAGTCAATGTGTTAAAATGCTCAAAGTTGTGGCACTGCTCTGAAGATATCTTTTCAGTAAGAAATATTCTTTGACTGAAATCTAAAGAGAATCTTCCCAGTTTTATAATCAAACATATAGCTTATGATCAAGGGAGGTAAAAGACTATGCAAAAATCTTTCAGTTTTACAATTTTAGCTACAAAACATATACTTTTCTAATAGTAAAATTATAAATAAAGTGGAGAAAACTAATAACTGGATAAAGATAAAATTCCTAAGTGCTAATAACAGCAAACTAGAGAGTCCATTTGTAACACAAAACTTAGAGATAACTTTAATAAGAAATGTGTAATTCACAAAAGTGATAAAAGAAGATTTAAATAAATAAAAAAATATCATTTCTTGATAGTATGTCACATTTTCCCAAATTAGTAACCTTAATTTCACCGAAATGTGTAATTCACAAAAGTGATAAAAGAAGATTTAAATAAATTAAAAAAAAATATCATTTCTTGATAGTATGTCACATTTTCCCAAATTAGTAACCTTAATTTCACCGAAAAGCCCGATGATGCTAAAATTCAACTTGAGAGATAATCATTAACTCATTTATTCATTCAACCAAATATTCCCCGAGGGCACCCATTCCTGTCCTACTAAGAGCCAGGTGCTGTGCTATATACATGAGACATAATAGTGATCCAGTGTTGTGAAGGAGAAGTACACTGGTGCTACATTTCTTTTTTTTTTGTCTTTTTTCGTGACCAGCAACGGATTGCAACCCTCAGTGTTGCGCCTGTACCGGACCGGGACCGGCAACGGGATCGCACATGAGACATAATAGTGATCCAGTGTTGTGAAGGAGAAGTACACTGGTGCTACATTTCTTTTTTTTTTGTCTTTTTTCGTGACCGGCAACGGATTGCAACCCTCAGTGTTGTGCCTGTACCGGACCGGGACCGGCAACGGGATCGCAACCCTCGGTGTTGCGCCCGCACCTTGCTCAGCCAGTGAGTGGCTGGTCTGTATGTGGGATCCGAACCCTCAGCGGGAGCGCCGCCGCACTCCCAAGCGGCGCACTGTAGCAGTGCCCCACCGGGCCGGCCCACTGGTGCTACATTTCATGGGGATATTTGATACTGTGTAAGTCAGAGAAGGCTTCCCTGAATAAACTGATTAAAATCTTAAGGATAAGTGGGAGTTAACCAGGAGAAATAAGGTGGGGAGAGAGTATTACAGGGAAAAGAAAAAGCATTTGCAAAATGTGAAGGGACCAAAGTGAGCTGAAAGGAATCCAGAGTGACTGGAGTACAGAGTGAGTGAGTGAACATAAAATGAAATGAGGCTGTAGAGATAGACAAGGTTCTATGTCAGAGAAAAAATTTTAGATTCTGCCTTCACAACAATGAGCTGCCCCAAAATAGTTTTAAAAGCAGAGAACAACATGATTAAATTTGTGTCTGGAAAATATACTGTAGCACTAGAACAGCCTGCAAAGAGGGCAGAGTGAAAGTGGGGAGATTAGTTAAGGGAGTATTTTAGTAATAGAGATGAGAGATAATAGTAGCTTGAATTGGGTTTTTGGTGGTAGAGGTGGAGAGAATCAACAGCCTCAAACTATATTTAGGAACTAAAATAGACAGGAATGTGTGCTGGATTAGCTACAGAGGATGAGGGAAAGAGTAATCAAGGATAATTCCTAAATTATCTGGTTTGTGAAACTGCATAGATGGTAGAGCTTTTCATTGGGACAGGAATTACTAGAAATCAATCAAAAATGAATCGGAATTTTTTTAAGGGTGGGGGGAGGGGAAGAGAGGGGAGGTAGTGGGGTAGTTAGATTATAACCTCTATTTTACACATGTTGAGTTTGAGGTGCCTTTAAGATAGTCAAGACTTCCTAAGCTTAGAAATAACAGAATAAATCAGTAAGGAAGAGATAAATTTTGGACTATATAAAAAGGAAAAACTTGATATTCAACAGCATATCTCACTAAAGAGGGCAAACCAACATAGTGAGAAAAACATGTGTAACAAATGCTATGGTTATGTTTTATATATAAAAACTCTGCATAAATCAAGAAGAAAAAATTAAAAATCCAACTGGCACATGGAAATAAGTTATAAAACAGCCAATGCAGAGCAAATCAGGGAAAACATTAGAGGGATTACTAATGGAAATAATCTAATTTTCTTCTTGACCTTTAAAGATTTTTAAATTAGTCACTCCAGTAAATTGAATCAACTTTCCATGTGATGACTAGAAAACCTGTATTCTTAAAAACATTTCAAACGAAGACATCAAACTTAAAAAACCCCCAAAACCCAAAATGAGTTTTTCCATCTAAGAAAAAAAGGGATATAAAACTGTTCTTGAGAGGATAGCTACCATATCAGACTACAAAGGACACATTACTATAATATTTAACTATGTTAGCTTTAAAGTATTTTCTCTTTTATCCTTTCTTTAAAGTTGCCACCACATCCATGAATTATAAAGAAGTTTTAAAAAAACAAAAATAAAACATTTATAGACTTCTAAAAGAATTTGTTTTTGGGAAACTATGAGTTTTTATATAAAGTACAAACAAGATATCACATTCAATTTCTAATAACATTCAGAAGGAAGAGTCAGACAATCTCAATATTTTTCTCCCTTCAACCGAACTTCCATTAATTACTTTTGTATACCCATAACACTGTCCTGTGATATTAAACCACATATGTAAGAGACTTTTATTTCTTCCACAAAGGATTAAACTAACAGTTATGAGAACTGTCCTACCATGGTACACAACTAAAGAACTGGACAAAACACACAAAACAACTGTTTGACCAGTTAGCAATATAGGACTGTGACCTCTAAAAGATGGGAAAAAATGAGAAAAATGAGATGTGCACTATGATTGCCTCAGATTATGGCCTGGAGAGTTTCCAGGTTACAACACAGGGGGAGGGAACCCAAACATAGCCCAGTGTTCTCCCTGAGTTGAGGAGACACATATTTGAGGGAATTTGCAGCTTAGAATTTGCAGGGCAGAGCACCAGAGACAAGGGAACTGTAGAGAGAACTTTACAGATTTGCAAAGACCTGATATTTGGTTAAGAAATGATCTGCACATGTGTGAGGTGAAACTGCACAAGGCTGGAGAAAGTGCTATGGGAAATCAGTACAGCATGCACAGTGGTGAGAAGAGTTTATGTTTTCACTAGCCAAAGTTAAGTGATCTTGCAATATAGGGACACTAGGTAGAGTTCTCAGAAAAGTCATGCCTTAGTAGTGGAGATTTATTAGCCTTAGGTGCTTAATTAATTAGCCAAGATGTGCTTAGTATATGCCTTAACACAGCTTAAAAGTAGGCTGAGGAGGTCAAACTGATTTCACATAAATTGTGTGTCAGATCAACATCCAATACTCTTTAAAGAGATACAAAAAACAAAAATAAACAAACAAAACAGGACCCAACAATGTAAAGTGAACAATATCTGGCATACAATAAAAAATTACCAGACATGAAGAAAAAGGAAAAATGACTCCCAAATAGGAGAAAAATGAATCAATGGAAGTATACTCAGAAATGGCAGATTAAGGAATTAGACAAGGAATTTAAACCAGCTATTAAAACTAGTCATCAATAAAAAGACATATAGGTTGGAAAGGAAGAAGTAAAATGGTCCTTATTTGACAATTACATGATCATTTACTAAAAAATTCTAAGCAATCTAAAAAAAGTTACTAGAACTATTAGGTGAGTTTAGTAAGGTCATAGTATACAGGGTCAATTGGTCATAGTATACAAAAATCAACTGGATTTGGAATAAACTGAACACCAGTATACGTCTTATACATTAAAAACTGTAAGATATAATTGGGAGAAATCAAAGAAGACCTAAATAAGTGGAGAAATATACCATGTTTGTTAATTAGAAGATTAAATATTATTAATATGTCAGTTCTTACCAAACTGACCAACAGACACAACATAATCTTAATCAAAACCCAGCAGGCTGTTTCTAAAATTTATCATAAAAAGTGAATGAACCAGAATAGCCAAAACAATTTTGAAAAGAAGAACAAAGTTGGATTTCTTACACTGATTTCAAGGCTACTTTCACTATCTGATTTCAAGACAATAAAAAGCCACAGACTGAAGACAGTGGTACTACTGGCTTAAGCACAGACATACAGATCAGTGAAACAGAACAGAGAATCCTGAAATAGACCCAAACATATATGGTCTTTGTATGCACATAATATTTAAGATATGAGAAATAAAATAAAAATTAGCATTTTTGACAAAGGTGGAAAGTCAATTCCATAGCAAAAGGACCGCTTTTTAACATATGGTGTTGGGACAATTGGATCCTTATCTTGTACCCTATAGAAAAATTAACTTGAAATAGATCACCTTCCTACATAACAGCTAAAACTATAATACTGCTTAAAAAAAAAAAAAGGAAAAAATCTTTGTGACCTTGGGTTACGCAAATTTTAAAATTTTCATCTAACAAGACGCCGTAACTCTATTAATGACAGAAACAGTACAAATTTCAAACCAAGACATAGTTACTCTTTTGAAACACCAAAAAAGTCCTCATTTTCAGATAGTTACACTGTTAATTCCGTAATAGCATTTACAATGTCATTACT